TCATGACACTCCACCATAACCTTTTGGACAAGCGCCATCGAGAGATTTTGGCACGCGACCGCGCCGTGGTGCCTGAGATCAGCGAGACAGTCGACTTCTCCGCCACTGTAGACCACCCTGTTGAACTCCGCCCGAACCGCGTAATTGAGGGGAGTTCAGGTCAGGTGATATACTTAGATATTCCACCTTCCTCAGGTACTCAGCCCCCTTCCATTCCAAGTAGGTGAGTGTTTCTCCAACACCCTTCGATTTCATGTGGTGGCACTGCTCAATGCTGTAGCAGTACAGTTTCCAAGAAGGTGCGGGCGACCATGTGAGGAGGATATTCTTCGCGAGTTGCCCTGCCCAAGGTAACGGCCAGCGCTCACCTTCAATACGGGGTCCACGAAGAAAATATTGGACTTTCCATTCTTCCGCCCCACCCCCCCCCCCTGTATTTCCTCAGCTTTAATCCCCCCATTGGGCAGAAGGAAGAACTATCTAGAGAACTATCTTGCAAAGGCACTGAACTGTGCACGCAATTTTCAACGGGCCAAATAAGGACCCCCATCTCCCGCTGAGGAATCCCACCCGATCGTAGCTCTTATATCCGCCCTACCTCTCAGAAGACGGCAGGTCAAAGCTGACAGCTGAGCAGGTGATGTTGTAAAGCTGACAACTGTATAAAGGCAGCACCTGCATGGCTAATATTCAAAGGCATCTACGATTGTCAGTGATGGGTAGGTACACGGCGTATTCGAGTCAAGAATCGATTTTGGGCCCATTTGTTACACATAATTACTTCACTTCTGATCCCATTCCTTTGAAATCTTAAAGTGACTGATTAGTTTTATAGCAAGTGAAATGTCGAGGCCTATTTGTAATATTTCATATTCCTCCACGGTATGTATCTTATTTCCGAATATTTATGTCCAGCTTTTGGAGAAGTTTGCATCAATCCCTCATTTGAAAAGCGAACCATAGACGGTGTCCCTTAATGGCCGACAGAAATTCGATAAGTCTCTCATGCGCCATTAAATAACGAGCCAACAGACTAATTAAATTCTACTGACTATTGAACGCTAGAATTTCGGCTGTTATCCAGTGTATAGTCGATAGCGATTGGATGGAAATTGCATATCTCAGTAATGAGTAACTGGAGGAAGCTACGAAGCTAAGTCCACACGATAACACCACCCAGGTTGAGCTGAGCTGGGAGCATTTGCTGCACCCACATAATCGCTGGAGAAGATCTGCACGCAATTTGTGAGGTTATTTCGAGAGAAAAATTGTAGCGCGTAAGCTATGTGGCGCGAAGCATGAGGTATGTGGCAACACAGTCGCAATTTGCCGCGCTGGAGGGACGTCGCTTGCGACATTGCGTCCCCTAATTACGATGTTTTCAGGACGTAGATGGCGGAAATAGACTATGGTAATCAAATAGTCATAAATGTCAGCGATGTCGTAGTCTTCTTGGGATCCGGTAATCCAGTCGGAAAGGCACGTATAAGAAAATTCGCGTTTACGAACCGCGGGAAAACACCGCGTACATGCCGCGCACGAAATTACCACGCTGATCGCCGCGCGCGAAACTACAGCATTCACCGCCGGGTGCGAAGTAGCGGCAAATTACAATTCTCTTGACCGTCTCTCCACAGGATGCTGTGGTGGAAAGCTGCTCCACAGCCCGCCGAAAAGGGAAGTTCAGATTCCTCCTTTGTCAATGCAACAATCCATGAACAAGTTGAGGGTGTCCAGCGCCTTAGAGTCGCAGTCAAGACAGATCTTCGGATCCTGGCGGCACAGATGGCAATACGTC